TTGGGGATGCGGCCGCGATGGTCCGAGAAACGTTTGGCCAACTTGTTTTCGGCCCGTTCTCGTTCGGACGTTCCTTTATTTCGCTTCGGTATCCGGCCGAACTGCTTCACGTGCTCGACGAACGTTTGCAGAGGACCGCTCAATGCAGCACGCTGAGGAGCAGCGCTGTTCCTTGCCGCAGGCTGAGGAGCACCGCTGTTCAATGCAGCAGGGTCAGGAGCACCGCCGCCAGACCGAGAACTATCAGCATGTCCTGGCATTAAGGTGTGCAGTAGGCGCTGCGCAGTTCCTTTGAAAGGGAATCTTCGAAAGCAGGGCTGTAGCCAAGAAGGCTACGGGGACGATGATGATTATGATGATGATGATGATGATGATGATGATGCTGATGATGATGATGATGATGAAGATGATGAGTCTTGGAAGTCTGGGAAGTGGAGGAGCACGAAGTGGCGTACAGTTGGCTCCGGGCATTCAACATGTGGCCCGGGAGTGAAGTTCTGGGAAATGGAAGAACACGAAGTGGCCTACAGTTGGCTCCGGGCATTCAAAATGTGGCCCGGGAATGATGTTCTGGGAACTCCAAGAACACGAAGTGGCCTACAGTTGGCTCTGGGCATCCAAAATGTGGCCCGGGAATGGAGTTCTGGGAGGTCGAAGAGCACGAAGTGTTCTACAGTTGGCTCCGGGCACTCAAAATGTGGCCCGGGAGTGGAGTTCTGGGAGGTCGAAGAGCACGAAGTGTGTGACTGTTTTGTTAAAACGAGCCCGGCCCTCGCCTGTCCGGCTCCCGCCCAGACCCCCCTGGGGAGTCATCAGATGCTCTCTTTTGTTTCCATAGAAACCTAATAGTCTTCGCTGTTAAGTGAAAGGGGTCGCGGCGGAGGGGGCGTGCGGGGGGGGGCGCCGTGCTGAACTAAAGGGTCGGGGCGGAGGGGCGCGCTGGCTGGCGGGTGGGGGGGATTCGGAGGGGGTGCGCTGTGTCGAAATTAAGTGGTCGGGGCGGAGGGGTGTGCCGCGCCGAAATAAAAAAAGGGTCGGGGCGGGGGGGCGCGCTGGCTGGTGGGTAGGGGGATGCGGAAGCGGTGTGCCGTGCCGAAATACAAGGGTCGGGGCGGAGGGGTGTGCTGTGCCGGAGTAAAACGGGTCGGGGCGGAAGGGCGCGCTGGCTGGTGGGTGGGGGGGATGCGGAGGGGTGTGTGCCGTGCCGAAATAAAATGGGTCGGGGCGGAGGGGTGTGCCGTGCCGGAATAAAAGGGGTCGGGGCGGAGGGGCGCGCTGGCTGGTGGGTGGGGGGGATGCAGAGGGGGTGTGGAAGGTGTGTGCCGTGCCGAAATAAAGGGTCGGGGCAGACGGGTGTGCCGTGCAGAAATAAAGGGGTCGAGGCGGAGGGGTGCGCTGGCTGGTGGAATGTGTGGGTGATGGAGGGGGTGCCGTGCCGAAATAAAATTGTCGGAGCTCTAGACACCCTGTGCAAGAGAATAAAAACTGCACTGCAACATTCCTGGAATAAACCCGGACAAATGCCGTAAATGCCTGTAAAGCCCACCTGAACCTGGACAAAGGCCCGACTCCTGCAGTGCAGCCAAAAAACATACCTGCACGACTAGATCTGACTTTGCAGGAAAGGGTATTGGTTCCCCGACTTGCCAATGTCTTTGTCAGTCTTTGTCCTGGTCTCCGGGGAGCCTGAAATCTCCCTCTTCCTTCTATGCCGGATCTCACCAGCCCTCTCGGCGTAGATGGTTCTAGGGATCCACTCTACCCCCCCCCCTTCTCCAATTTCGGGCCCCCTGGGTCTGGGTCGGCCTTCTCCGTGAGGTGCCAAAGGGTCGATTTGGGCTCCAGGCGGCCCCGAAATTACTTCGAAGAGATCGCAACATAGCTCAGGTTTGACTGGGATGGCCTCCCGCATGCTTCCAATAACCTGCAATGTGGTCAAGAGATGGCACGGTGCTGCCTCGGAGCCTTCGGAGCATGAACCTGATGGAGCCACAATCTGTCAACAACTTTTCCGACTCCGAGCCGTCAAGATTTCCTCAATACTGCCTCAAGATAGGCTCACCAAATGACCCACGGCTCCCAAATGTATCCCAAGCAGGCCCCAAGAGGTGTCTGTTCGATATCCAGAATGGAGGCCCTGGTTCGGACCACCGTTTCGATCGATGGCCTCCATTTCCTGTCACTCTGGGTGGATTCATCGGGCCCGCGTGACGATCCAAACATGTCCAGATGCGCACCCCGCGAACATCAACGTGGAGTCAGAATTGGTGCGTCACTGGAGGCCTGCCGCTACGTCGTGCTTTTGTTCTTTACAACTGGACCGTAACAAGTGGCATGATACTTCTGCTAGGACTCGTTGGCACCTCTGGCATCTTGAGCTCACACAAGGTTCGATCGACAAGAGGACTTCATCTAGCAGTTGCTCTACTTCTCGATCGTTGTATCTATTTCCCAGCAGGGCCGGTGTGTATGGAACGAACTCGGCCCTTGGTTTGAAGTCGCGGTGGCTTTTTGCGCGTGGAATACCAAAGCTCCTACAGTTGCATGAGAGTGAGGGTGCGGAGGGGTGAGGGTGTTGGCAGTCTGCGATGCTCGAAAGCAGGTTCGAAGAAACCCGCCGCAGGCGCCGATGTCTTATACATTGCGCAGCCAGCCCGCCGCAGGCGACGATATTTCGTCAAAGCTATGCGGGTGAATCGCGAGTGGTCCGCGGGTGGGTCGCGGGGCGACGACGACAAGAACAAAACAACAATCCGCACTGGGGAATCCCACTACAGCCACGCACCCAAGGATCTTGTAAGACCATTCGACCCCCTCGCTCTGATTAAAGAGCTCTCGTCTGGTAGCGTCTACGACTTCAGTTATTAACTCGTTTTCTATTTTTCGGCAGTTCGCGTGCTGACCTTTCCTGGAGGCTGAAATCTTGTAGCCGAAAAAATTGAACCCACGCGCACCGTTGGCGTATGTGTACATGCGCAAAATGTTTCCCACAGCACTTTTACACAATAAATGGTAACTGCAAGTGCTCGCGCACACGGTAATCATGTGAAGATGTGTGAATCGGAGGTTGGGGGGTGAGTCCGACGTGAAGCGGAGACCCCCCCTACCGGGAAATCGATCTCGGTTTCGGTTTCGGGTTCGTGTCGTGCGTGCCGTGCGTGCGGGCGGGCGAGGCGAAGCTGCGTGGGCGGGCGAGAGGAAATCCTCCTGCGGCTGGGCCGCGGTCGGACCAAATGTAACTCCTCCGGCGGCCGGTGCCCCGCGGTGTCTCGCCGGTGTCCCGAAATCCTGCTGTGGCTGGGCCGCGGCCGGACCAAATGTAACTCCTCCGGCGGCCGGTGCCCCGTGGTGTCCCGCCGGTGTCCCGCTGGTGTCCCGTCGGTGTCCCGCTGGTGTCCCGTGGTGTCCCGTGGTTTCCCGTTGAGTGAGTTAGATAGTGATATCGATAGTGAGATCGATGTGGTGTCCCGAGGTGTCCTATGGTGTCCCGTTGAGTGAGATCGATCGTGAGATCGATAGTGAAACCGATGGTGAGATCGAGAGATGTCCCGCGGTGTCCCGTGGTCTCCCGTTGAGTGAGATCGATAGTGAGATCGACAAGTGTCCCGTGGTGTCCCGTTAAATTAGATCGATAGTGAGATCGATTGAGTCAGATGTTGGTTCCCCCCTGTCTTCCACCCTCACAACCTCCTTATCACCCGAAGGGTGGTCGTATAGGTACATGTATATGCCTATCGCATATCAGCATGATCGCGGAACACAATGGCCGACACGTGGAAATAATCAGCCACTGCGAGACCATCGCGCGATCATCATGAGTCAATGTTTAAAGCAATCTGGCCTGCTGCAAACGCCATTGCCTTGGACGACTCCACCACAACCTGCATAGATGCCACTTTGGCTTCACCCCTTCCGCGGCTGTGGCTGCGGCTGCTTGTTCACCTGGCGCTCTTTCAAATCAAGCTTTCTTCTACAATCAGTTTCCATTGTTCCTCATCTTTTTCAGGACAAGCGCCATATTTCCTCGCTTTCGTTGCCACCACCCAGACCATCTCCCTTCCCTTACTTCCCTTTGCCCCCTCTTCAGCCTCCTTCTCCTCCTCGTCGTTCGTCTTCAAGCTGGTCTGTCCAGACGAGGTCATCTCCAAGCTGTTCCTAAAACGTGGAGGCCTCGCTCGATGCGCCAGCCCTTCAGAGGCACCAGCTACAAGTATGCTTCTCCTGATTACAGAGCGCGAGCTCCATGGAAGGGGGTATTGCTTGTAATGTTGTCATTTCCTCTGCGTGGCCACCGATCTCAATTCACCCTGCCCTGCTCGAAAATATATCTAAGTCATGAACGAGGTAGGATGCTCCAAGGCAGAAGCGCTTCATTACGATGAACTTTCAAGGCTGTCGGATGCCTGGTAACTACATGAGGCGGACCTGGTGGACGTACGATCTTGCTCGTGACGAGGCGCGAGACAGAGACGGTGTGGCCATCGTGTTACCCTGAGTTTGCCACCATGCAGCGACAATAGGTGCACAAGGAAGGAGGATGAGGATGATGCTGAAGAGAACAAGTAACAGGGGGAGGCAAAGGAGGGGAGGCCCCAATAATCATCACACGGCTGTGACGCGGCTGCGAATGAGGTGTGGCCCGTGATGCAACTGCAGAGCGGACGCGGGGAAGCTATGTGATGGTCCTGCCATAGGGTTCCCACAATGTCTTGCCGAGTGCCGCTGGCGGGGCCGAATCGATCCAAACGGGGATTCCCAAAGTAGCGCCAGTTCCGTCCCAGCCAGGACCGATACCATGGCAGAGGGCAGGCGGAAGGGAAAACAGCAGCTCACGGTCAGACCCTTCTAGGCTGAATCATTCAGGACGACCGTGAGTCCGTCTCAGACTGCGAGTGCGAATCTAATACAAGTAGGAACAGTACGTAGGAGGAGGAGGAGGAGGAGGAGGAGGAGGAGGAGGAGGAGGAGGAGGAGGAGGAGGAGGAGAAGGAGGAGGAGGGGCAGGAGGAGGATGTCAAGCCACAGTCGGCATTAAGGTGCGACCGCGAAGGTGTTGTTGAGGAGGGATTCCCTCCTCCTTTCGCCCCTGCTTCCCCCATTTTTCTGCACTGCCGTTCTGCTCGCGCGGCGTGCCAGTCACAACTCTTTCGCCCGTGTCCCGCTTCTGCACTTGCCCCAGACTACTGCGGACCGGAGCGCTCTGCCGGCGGCCACGTGCACAGCGACACAGCTGCCCTTGGCGGCGCAGCCAGGGTAGGCGCGCTCGAGCACGCCCATGAAGGAGAACCTGCTCCTCAGAGGAGGAAAAGCTGCACAAACATAACCCTTCGGCGTTCCACGATCATTTTTTTGAATCGGCGCTGGACCACTCCGACCGCTCATGTTTACCGCGGGTTCGTGTCGTGTCGACCCTGGCGTTGGTCTCTGACACCGAAGGGATCGTTCATCATCGACCGATTCTGGGTCGGGGGTCGCAGCTGGTCGACACGACGCTGACCTGCCGCATGCCATTTTTTCTTCCTCGACTCCTGTCGTGCCTAATCTCGAACGCCTCGCGAAACGTCGCCATGTGATCCCGGGGGCTGTCGCTCGGGCAATATATGTTCTGGATGTGGTGCTCGAACCGCTTGTCGCCCGTCATCTTGCTCCAGAGCTCGGCGGAGCCCGCGGGGTAGTCCCCCGTGACGAGCTCCTTCATCTCGCTCCAGATGTCCCTGAAAAAGCCGCGGAGGCAGGTGAGCTCCTCCTCGAACTGCTCCAGCTTGGCGAACACCTTCTTGAACGGGAGTACCTGGGCCCTGACACATCCGAGCTTCTGCTGCCTCTGGCGGACCCTCTTTCGCACAGAGTCGGGATGCACGCCGTGCGGCGGCGGCTCGGGGGCCGGCTCGAATGCCTTCAGCGTGGCGTAGGGCGCTGGCAGCTTGGCCAGCTTGGGCCACTCGTCAGGCTCGTCCGTCGGCTTTTGGGAAAATATCTGTTCGAGAAGGGTTCCGAACGGGTTGGGAACCCAAAACCAGGTGTTGACTCCGATCACATCGCCCGAATTCAGGCCCGAGTGCCACCACCTGATAGGGATGTACAGCACGTCGCCTGGGAAGAGGACTACGTCGTACCGTTGGACTTTCGCGAAATTGGGATACCTTTCCGGGTCTGGGTGCTTCCATGCCTCCTCCAGTTGCTCTGGGGTCTTGTTAACGAAAGCATAGAAATCGAAAAGCATCTCAGAATATGACCAAACCTTGGGCCAAACATGGAGGTTATCTCCATCCCAAGGTGCAAACATGATAAACTTTTTTCCTCCCTGACCATGCGCGGCGAAAAAGAAGTTGTGGGTAAGGTCGGTGTGCAGGCCAGTGACAACAGTCGACCCGTTGACGCCCATCCACCAATGCACCTTTTGGATCTCAGCAGTCTGCAGCAACCTTGGGGGCATAGAATCCACTACACTCTGCAGCAGTTCCAGCGTGGGGACGTGGCCCTGCGACTTGAAGCACTGGAGCGCTGGTGCGCTCGAGCCCTTCTGGGCCTCGTAGTACTCCTCGATCTGACGCAAACTCCACATGCCGCCCTCGTGCGCGTGCGAATTCCAGGAGCCGCTGCCGTGGCCCTTGTTGAGCGACCAGCCTCCGATGCCGTCTGCATGCTTCTGGAGATTCTTGTGCGAGAAGGCCTGCAGCAACTTTGAGCGGCCCGCGAGCCCGCGAAAGACAACTGGCAGCCCTTCAGCATATATCTCTGGCCACTTTTTGATCTCCGCCGAGGCTTCCGCAGCGGACACCTCTGGGCGGCCCTCTTCTGGCCGCCGACGCCGGCTCACTGCACGGGGACTCCGAGCAGCGGGGTGGAGAGGCCCATGCCTTCTGGCTGACTCCAATCTCACAGGCAGGCTGGGGTGTTTCAAGACCAGGGGGTAGGGGCTGGGGCAAAGGGATGGGGAGACGGGTGAGAAGCTATCCTATCTGTGCTCTCGCTGGGACTGGGCCACCCCTGGCACCGTACACTCCTCAGCACCACCGCAGGGTATTCGAATCGGCCGAAACGTCTGGGGCCAGAGGGAGCTCTCTGGCCGTGGACCTTCCGTCCAGGCTACTCCTGGAGTCTCGATCGGCCTGGGCGGCCAGGAGCCCCCTGCACATCTAAAATACAAGCCTTCCTCACATCCTGACTCGGGTGAGCTATCCTTTCGCTCCGTGAGCCTCCCTCTCCAGACCTCTTGCCGTGCCAATCCACTTGCGAGGCGCCCTAGACTGATCGCCTTGGCCTTCCTCAAACACATGCTCGCCAGACTATCTTGCCCTCCAGCGGTGCCGCTGAGGCCCCAGGCCCCCCCCCCCCTGCCACAGATCCCGAAGCGGGGGGCTGGCGAGGCGACTAGGATGCAGGCTGCCCGACCTCCCGCACGGGCTGCCCAGCGTAGCCCAGGGCGACGGTGCCGCCGGCCGCGGCGCCGAAGGCCACCCACGGGAGCGGCAGGCCCATGCGGGGCGCCGCGGGGGCGGACCGATAGCCCAGGGCTGGCCCCTGGGGACGTGTGGGCCAGAGGGGGGCGGGGGCAGGAGAGAGATGCTCCCCGCTCCTCTGTCCCTGGGCTGAGGGGCAACGATAGCGGGGGACTGGCATAGGGGTGGATGCATCGATCTGGAATCGGCGATACATCGCCGATAGATCGGCGATAGTCCTCTGATAGTGAGTCCGCACCTTCCTGGGCAGGTTGGGGCTATCGGGCCCCTATCGGCGATCAATGGGCGATTGGGGGTCGATGCATCCCCCCTATGCCTATCCCCTCCTATCGTTGCCCCGCCCACCCCTGCCAACGGCCATAGGGGAACGAAGAATGACATAAACATAAGAACTCGGAGGTCTGCGCGGATCCGCGCTGGACCCGCCTGGTGGCGCCTCCGGCGCCGCCCCTGGCGCGCTCTGCGCGCCAGGGAGGGGGGTCCAGCGCCGATCCGAGAAATCCGCGCGGACCTCCGAGTTTTTCTGTTCATGTCATTCTTCGTTCCCTAGCCCACTCCCCCGGTCCCTGCGCCACCCTCCCTTGTCGCCAGGCCCTGCACGGAGTCCTTGCCTTGTCCCTGGGCCCCCGGGCTGGGCCTGGAAGTTCGGCCCACCGATGCCAGGGCCAGAGCCACCTGGCCGCTGCGAGGGAGCGCGGCAGACGAGCCAAGGGTCTCACCATCTGGCGAGGTTCGCATGCTCTGCCCGGATACACAATACAGGTCTTCTCATGCTGGTTGCTCACGTGTGGTTTTCCTGCTTGGGCCGTCGAGGCTTGGGCCTGTGCCCGTCGTCCAGTGGCCGTTCTCTCTGAAGGGGCCAGCGCGTAGCTGAACGGCAGAACGTAGGGCAACCGGTATCCGACAACCGACACTGTCTTCCTGTGGTTGACCCAAACGGGGGTCCAGCTGAAAGGGGGTGGTGCACTAGATTTGGGGCAAGTGTATTTCAAATGTTCTGAAGGCAGTTGTATTGCATTGTATTGCAACGAAGGTATTGCACGCGAAAATCCAGCAATACATTTGCGCACCAGACTGTACTGCACACCCCAAATCTATTGCAACCCCACAAGTCTGTTCTCCATTCTAGAAACAGAATAGGATCTCCCCCCCGGCGTTATCGCTACCCCTTTCGGGTATGTAAATCATGTATGATTCTGACCACATGTCCATCCCAAATATGAATTTACCCTATCCCAGGGGGGCTGGTATCCCCCCCCCCTGATGGTCCCTTGTAAAAACACTATGCGGTGACATTTTTGGTTCTAACATAGCACTTTTTCACGAATCCCTTCCAAATTATAGCCGGAGTGCAGTATCCCCAAACAGGGTTTTTAGACCCACTGCGCTTTCCAAGGTCGATTCTGTGCCCGTCCAGTGCGGGCTGGCATGGCATGTTAAAACATGCCTCCTCCTCCTCCTCCTCCTCCTCCTCCTCCACTTCCTCTTCATCCCGAACGGCATCTCGGACCCCAGAGTTGCAACGATGTCTCGGGCGAAACGTGCTGCGAGGAAGTCTCAGGCGAAGCGGGCCAGACCACCTCGAGCGCGGAGTCTCAGAGCTCCGAGTTGCGGGGGCCTCCTGGGGCCTCGTGGGACCTCCTGGTGACCTCCTGGGGCTTCCTCCTGGGCCTCCTGTGGCCTCCTGGACCCCGCCTGGGACTTCCTGAAGCCTCTTGGGGCTCCCGGAGGGGGATATCTAACATGTGGCCGTCGGGGCCCCCCCAAATGGGAGGAAAAATCAACGAATTGACACCGGATTTGTATTAACTAACACGTTCTGATAAGGGGCCTCCTGGGGCCTCCTGGGAGCCTCCTGGGAGTCTCCTGCGGACCCCTGGGGCCTGTCCTGGGCGTCCTGCGGCCTCCTGAAGCTCTCTGGGGCCTCCTGGGGCTCCCAGGGGGGATATGTAACATGTGGTCTTTTGAGCTCCAGGCTGGACCACCTCTTGCGCAGCATCTGAGAGCTCAGAGTTGCGAGAATGTCTTGTGCGAAACGGGCCGGACCACCTTGCGCACGGCATCTCAAAGCTCAGAATTGCGAGGATGTCTCAGGCGAGATGGGCCGGACCACCTCGCGCAGGGCATCTCGGAGCCCAGAGTTGCGAGGATGTCTCCAGCGTAACGGGCTGGACCACCTCGCGCGCGGCATCTCGGACCCCAGAGTTGCGACGATGTCTCGGGCGAAACGTGCTGCGAGAAGTCTCAGGCGAAGCAGGCCGGACCACCTCGAGCGCGGCGTCTCAGAGCTCCGAGTTGCGGGGGCCTCTTGGGGCCTCGTGGGACCTCCTGGTGACCTCCTGGGGCTTCCTCCTGGGCCTCCTGTGGCCTCCTGGACCCCACCTGGGGCTTCCTGAAGCCTCTTGGGGCTCCCAGGGGGGATATCTAACATGTGGCCGTTGGTGCACCCCAAAAGGGGGGGGGGGCCACAAGAGCAGGAAAAATCAACGAATCGACGACACGTTCTGATAAGGGGCCTCCTGGGGCCTCCTGGGAGCCTCTTGGGAATCTCCTGCGGACCCCTGGGGCCTGTCCTGGGCGTCCTGCGGCCTCCTGAAGCTCTCTGGGGCCTCCTGGGGCTCCCAGGGTCCCAGGGGGGATATGTAACATGTGGTCTTCTGGGCCCCCAGGCTGGACCACCTCTTGCGCAGCATCTGAGAGCTCAGAGTTGCGAGAATGTCTTGTGCGAAACGGGCCAGACCACCTTGCGCACAGCATCTCAGAGCTCAGAGTTGCGAAGATGTCTCAGGCGGGATGGGCCGGACCACCTCGCGCAGGGCATCTCGGAGCCCAGAGTTGCGAGGATGTCTCCAGCGTAACGGGCTGCGAGGAAGTCTCAGGCGAAACGGGCCAGACCACCTCGAGCGCGGAGTCTCAGAGCTCCGAGTTGCGGGGGCCTCCTGGGGCCTCCTGGGGCCTCCTGGTGACCTCCTGGGGCTTCCTCCTGGGCCTCCTGTGGCCTCCTGGACCCCACCTGGGGCTTCCTGAAGCCTCTTGGGGCTCCCAGGGGGATATCTAACATGTGGCCGTCGGGCCCCCCCCAAATGGGGGGAGGGGGCACAAGAGCAGGAAAAATTAACGAATCGACACTGGATTTGTATTAACTTGGCACGTTCTGACAGGGGGCCTCCTGGGGCCTCCTGTGAGCCTCCTGGGAATCTCCTGCGGACCCCTGGGGCCTGTCCTGGGCGTCCTGCGGCTTCCTGAAGCTCTATGGGGCCTCCTGGGGCTCCCAGGGTCCCAGGGGGATATGTAACATGTGGTCTTCTGGGCCCCCAGGCTGGACCACCTCTTGCGCGGCATCTGGGAGCTCAGAATTGCGAGAATGTCTTGTGCGAAACGGGCCGGACCAACTTTCGCACGGCATCTCAGAGCTCAGAGTTGCAATGATATCTCAGGCGAGACGGGCCGGTGTCTCGGGCGAAACGTGCTGCGAAGAAGTCTCAGGCGAAACGGGCCGGACCACCTCGAGCGCGGCGTCTCAGAGCTCCGAGTTGCGGGGCCCTCCTGGAGCCTCCTGGGGCCTCCTGGGGACCTCCTGGGGCTTCCTCCTGGGCCTCCTGTGGCCTCCTGAACTCCACATGGAGTTTCCTGAAGCCTCTTGGGATATCAAACCTGTGGCCGCTTGGGCCCCTGAAAATAAAGGGAGGGGCCACAAGAGCATGAAAAATCAACGAATCGACACCGGATGCGTATTAACTTGACACGTTCTGATAAGGGTCCTCCTGGGGCCTCCTGGGAGCCTCCTGGGAATCTCCTGCGGACCCCTGGGGCCTGTCCTGGGCGTCCTGCGGCCTCCTGAAGCTCTCTGGGGCCTCCTGGGGCTCCCAGGGTCCCAGGGGGGATATGTAACATGTGGTCGTCTGGGCCCCCAGGCTAGACCACCTCTTGCGCGGCATCTGGGAGCTCAGAGTTGCGAGAATGTCTTGTGCGAAACAGGCCGGACCAACTTGCGCACGGCATCTCAGAGCTCAGAGTTGCAAGGATGTCTCAGGCGAGACGGGCTGGTGTCTCGGGCGAAACGTGCTGCGAGGAAGTCTCGGGCGAAACGGGCCGGACCACCTCGAGCGCGGCGTCTCAGAGCTCCGAGTTGCGGGGGTCTCCTGGTGCCTCCTTTGGCCTCCTGGGGACCTCCTGGGGCTTCCTCCTGGGGCCTCCTGAACTCCACATGGGGTTTCCTGAAGCCTCTTGGGGCGCCCAGGGGGGATATCTAACCTGTGGCCGCTTGGGCCCTTGAAAATAAAGGGAGGGGCCACAAGAGCAGGAAAAATCAACGAATCGACACCAGATGTGTATTAACATGACACGTTTTGATAGGGGGCCTCCTGGGGCCTTCTGGGAGCCTCCTGGGAATCTCCTGCGGACCCCTGGGGCCTGTCCTGGGCGTCCTGCGGCCTCCTGGAGCTCTCTGGGGCCTCCTGGGGCTCCAAGGGGGGATATGTAACATGTGGTCTTCTGGGCCCCCAGGCTGGACCACCTCTTGCGCGGCATCTGGGAGCTCAGAGTTGCGAGAATGTCTTGTGCGAAACAGGCCGGACCACCTTGCGCACGGCATCTCAGAGCTCAGAGTTGCGAGAATGTCTTGTGCGAAACGGGCCGGACCACCTCGCGCAGGGCATCTCAGAGCTCAGAAGTTCGAGGATGTCTCAGGCGGGCTCCCAGGGTCCCAGGGAGGATATGTAACATGTGGTCTTTTGGGGCCCCCAGGCTGGACCACCTCTTGCGCGGCATCTGGGAGCTCAGAGCTGTGAGAATGTCTTGTGCGAAACAAGCCGGACCACCTTGCGCACGGCATCTCAGAGTTCAGAGTTGCGAGGATGTCTCAGGCGAGATGGGCCGGACCACCTCGCGCAGGGCATCTCGGAGCTCAGAAATTCGAGGATGTCTCAGGCGAAACGGGCCGGACCACCTCTCGCGCGGCATCTCGGAGGTCAGAGTTTCGAGGATGTCTCAGGCGAAACGGGCCGGACCACCTCGCGCAAGGCATCTCAGAGCTCAGAGTGTCGAGGATGTCTCAGGCGAAACGGCCAATCCCGGCCAACTCAGAAACGAGAGTTGTGAGGATGTCTCAAGCGAAACGGCCCGGACCATCACATTTTTTTGAGGATGTCTCTGCTCCGACTTCCCTAGGCCGGAGTTAGCTTCTATCACAACAGCACCCGTTCAGCAAGCTGTTTGGGGAGAAAGCAGTCCCTGGGATAAGATCGAAAGGTCCGCGGACGCACGTCTCGAAACAAACATCTGGACGTCGGATGTCTGGGGATGGCGGGAGGCAAGGCGCGCATGGCGGATGCTGAGGCGGCAAAATGACGGAGACGGCGACGGGGAGGCGGAGGCAGAGGCACAGCAGCGAAAGGCGAGAGGCGTGAGGAGGAAGGAGGGAAGAGGAGGCAGGCGGGAGGCAAGAGGAGGGAGGTGGGAGAAATGAGAGGTTTCAGGCAGAACCGGGCACACCATCTCGTGCGCAGCATCTCGAAGAACCCTGACGAAGAACTAGTCCCGGGGACGAGATCGAGAGGTCCGCGGGCGCACGTCTCGAAACAAAAATCGTGACGTCGGATGTCTGCGGAGGGCGGAAGGCAGGGCGCGCATGGCGGCATCTCGGAGCTTCGCATTGTGAGGATGGCTCGGGAGAAACGGGCTGG